GGAGGGAATGTGGCTGCCAACACTCTGATTTCAGACTTTGGGCTAGGAACTGTATGAAAATAATACATTCCTGTTGTTTTGAATCACCACGTTTGTTATGGCAGCTAATGCAAGCAGGTTCAGCTGACTCCAGAACCCCTGCTCTCAACCCCACACTATGTTACAGGAACATAAATGGGGGTGGAGGCCAGGGAATCTTTCAGACTCCTGAGACTGTATCATCCCAGACTAAGGATCTCAGTTAGAAAAACATGAACTTTCTCCTCTTTACAAATAATACTTCAGTTATGAGTTAGCTCAAAAAGAGAAGTGCTATCTTCATAGCTCATACAATTCAAGATTATCAGCAAAAACACCAAAGTAAAAACTCTCCTGAACAAAGATGCTAATAGGGGAAACTGGATATGAAGCATATAGGAACTTTCTTTACTATCTTTCTAATAATCCTATCAACCTCAAATTGTTTTAAAATCAAAAGAAGTTTATTTGCAAAGAAAAAAACCAACTCTCCTGGACCTAATTCCCTTGTGGGTCAGCCTTGGGACCTTAGTTTGAAAAACTCTACCCTACTTTACTCCGTTCCCCAATAATACTTGCAGAACGAATGCCCTTATGATCTGGGGGATCCTACTCGGCTTAGGATGGACCTGAGTTCCGATGTCCACCTGGGACACCTTTCTCCCGTCTCATCTGGTCCAAGATCTAGCTCTGCCCCAGCAAAGAGGGGTGAACACTTGAGGGAAATAGGCACAGCTCCCTGAGTTTGAGTTTTCTAAGTCAACGCACAGGGAGAAACCTGTGTGAGAACCAACTGCTCTTCACACCCTACACCCAAAGTGGCAAAAAACCCACACACGCTAAAGCCAGCAAGAGACTCCTGAGTGGCTCCCCCAGAGCATCTGTGTAAGAAACCCTGAGAGACAAAGCTGAATGAAACATAATAGCAAAATTTGAAGGAGGAATCAAGAATGGGCGAGAACAGAGAAGAAAGAGTAACAAAAGAAAAGGGATGAACTACAAAGACGAGGGGTCCTTGGCAAACCCATTTGTGATTTCCCCTTACCCCCTAAAATGTCAGTTTTGAAACTAGCTTCTGAAAAAGCACCCAGCTTCTCACGTCCCCCGAAAGGAAGACCCGAGGACCATGGCACAGGAGGAAACTGTTACCTCTTCGGCCCGGGGCATCAGGACGGGGGCCCTATCCATTCGTTCTCACGGAGCACCACCCTCTCCTCCGGCCCCGATCGACAAGTTTCCCACTGGGGGGAGGGCGAGAGGGTCCCTCCAGGTGGTGGACCCGGTCCCCTAAGCCGCCCCAGACTGGGCACCACTTTCCAACTGTCCTTAGCAGTCCAGGGGGGAGGGGGTCCCCGAGACGCCAGGAGCTGCCCACACACCTCTCCCCCTGCAAGGCGGCCACACCCGACCGCGGGACTCCCCACCTCGAGCCCCCTTCTCTCCCACCCAGCCCCCACACCCCCGGCGTCATCTGAATCCACCTTCCACTCCCGGCGCCCCCACCCCCACTTCCTGCCCACCCCCTCCCAATCTCAGGGCCCTCACTCCCCTGTTTCCCGCTTCCCTCAGTCCACGGGGCGCCTCACCTCTGGCCGCCACGCACGCCCTCTTTTCTGCCTCTGCTCCTGGACACCCCTCCGCCGGGCCCCACACAGCGCGCCCCCGCGGCTCGGCCCCCCGCACCCCACTCCAGGCCCCCGCGGCCCGGGGCCCCTCGCCCTCCGGCCGCCAAGCCCCTCACCCACCGCCGCCGCCGCCGCCGCCGCCGCCGCCGCCGCGTCCCTCCCGCCCGGGCCCCCGCCCGGCCCGCCTCGTGCGCAGTCGCCACGCGCCGCCCGGCCGCCCGCCCGGACCCGGGACCCCGCACTCACGGCTGAAGAGGGCGATGCCCGCCGACTCCGGGCCGGCGCGCACCTCGAGGCGCAGCGCCTGATGCTCCGCGTGCCGCTGGATCTCGCCGTTCGCGTCGCCAATGGTGAGGAGGCGGGTGCCGGAGAACACCGACACCGTCGCGCAGGGCCCCACGACGCCGGCGCCCGCCGTCACCATAATGCCCGCGCCCGGTCCCGCCGTCGCCGCCGCTGCTGCCATCTTAGATCCGGCACCAGGCCCCGCTGCCGCCGCCGCTCCCGGGCCCAGGCCGCCGCCGCCGCTCCTGCCGCCGCCGCCGCCGCCGCGCAGGCCGAGGCCGAGGCCGAGCGGGGCAGCGCCGCCTGCGGGCCACGCGCCGCCTCGCTGCCACTGCCGTCGGCCCGGCCCCGTGGCGCAGCGCCCCCTGCCGGCGGCCCAGGGCGCGGGGAGGGAGCACGCGGAGGACCACCCTCGCCGCGGGAAGGGGTCGGCCCCGCCCCGCCCCGCCCCGCCCCACTCCGCCTCGCGCGAACGGTCGCCGCTTTGTGAGGTGGTCGGTGGCCCCGACGCGGCGGTGGCGGGAGCGTGCGTCAGGGGGCGGGGGCGGGATAGGCCACGCTCCTAACCGAGCCCCGCCCCCAGCCCGCAAAGGAGAGGCCCCGCTAATGAGCAGTGCGAGTGCGGAGCCACGGGAGGGCGGGAAGGAGAGCGTCAGGGGCAGTGCCCGGTCATGCACACTGGCCCCGGCCCGCCCAGCGCAAAGGGCCCCGCTTTATGAGGCGGTGCCCCGGTCCGGGAAGCGGAGGGGGCGTGGCTGACGCCGGCGGCTTGGACACGCCCCCAAGGTTGGCCCCGCCTCCCCCTGCCAGGCTGTGTGAGGCGGCGTGAGGAGGGGCAGAGTTCAGTTTCCATGGGCCCGCCTCCGTGCTGGCTCTGCTCCCTCCACGGGTCCTCCCTTTTTTTTTTTTTTTTTTTTTTTTTTTTTTTTGAGAGAGAGAGAGAGAGAGAAACATCAATGATGAGAGAGGAAAAAAAAAAGGGCTTCTATGGTGAGTGGTACACATAGAATCAACATCAAGAGATTTCAGAAGCAGCCAAAACCGGTTTGGCTCAGTGGATAGAGCGTCAGCCTGCGATTGAAGGGTCCCAGGTTCGATTCCGGTCAAGGGCATGTATGTTGGTTGCGGGCACATCCCCAGTAGGGGGTGTGCAAGAGGCCTCTGATTGATGATTCTCTCTCATCGATGTTTCTAACTCTCTATCCCTCTCTCTTCCTCTGTGAAAAATCAATAAAATATATTTTAAAAAAGAATGAGTTGCCTATAAAGTGACTTTAAAAAAAAAGAGATTTCAGAAGCATAATTTGGCACGTGGGCAGCTGGTAATCATTGGTCCTGGCACCCACAAAAAAAAAGATGAGAGAGAATCATTGATGTGCTGCCGCCTGCAAGTCCCCTATTGGGGATAGAGCCTGCAGCCCTGGCATGTGCCCTTGACTGGAATTGAACCCAGGACCCTTTAGTCCGCAGGCCAATGCTTTCTCCACTGAGCCAAACTGGCTAGGGCTGGGCCTCACTTTTTGAGGCATGTGGCACTTGGGGCACACCCCGGGTTGTGGCCCCATTCCCTCAGTCCACTGGTCTGCAAAAGCAGCTTTAAGTGGGAGTCACCCTCTACAAGCATGTCAAACTGGTGGCCTGCAGGCCACATGCAGCCCACAAGGAATATTTTTGTGGCCCAGCCAACAAAATGGTATGCAAGAAATGTTTTCATAAAAATTTTGTAACTTAACTTTTACAATATCCTGTTACACGTCATTATTAATAACGAACCACAACGTTCGCTAATGGCTGATTACTATAATCGTGTTGCATTCATTTCCCTTACACGCCTTACCGCACAGGGGCGCCATTTCTCTCCACTAATACCTGCAGCGAATATTTTAGCAGCCGATTGCCACGTCATTAGTCTTGTACTGACTTGTTTGGTGTGCGCAACAGGAAATGTTTCACTTTCAGAGAACAAGAAAAATAGGTTTATTTGTGTTACGCTTATTAATTTGTGCAGTTATTTAGTGTCTGGTAAGTTAAGGCTCAAGAAAAATATTTTTGTATTAAAATATTATTTTATGTTAACGATGACTCATTTATTTCAGCCCTTTGTATTCAGCATGTCTCTATCGAAATAAACCTACGTTTCTATGAAAATGGAAGCTTTTGCTTCCACAGAAACTTAAAAACTTGTTTAGGCCCATGTTAGCCTTGGAGTTTGACGTGCTTGCTCTACACCCGACCTCTACCCTCTCCGGCAACATTCAAGCGTTCCTTCTCTCTTCCCCGTCATCTCCATTTCAGTCCCACGGTGCCCCCTCCTCATGCTCAGAGCTTCACTGTCTCCTCCCCCCAATAAAATTCTTGGCCCTCTCCCTCTGGACCCTTCCATTAGCCCCTACTTTGACTTCCCTCAGTGACGGCTGGCTGGTGAGTCTAGCTGAACATGGCGAAGTGCGCCTTTTCACACACACACACACACACACACACTACATACCACACACACAACACACACAACACACACACACATATACCACACATGCACAACACACACAACACACACACACATATACCACACACACACAACACACACACAACACACACACACATATACCACACACACATATACCACACACACAACACACCACACACACAACACACACACACACACATACACCACACCACACACCACACACACACACCACACACACATCTTCCTTTCAAGTCCCTCCCTCACACTGTTCCAGGGCTGCTTTTGGGGGGACCCAAAGAGTTTTGTGGCCACTTATCATCCTCCCCAGCTCCCACCCTTCCCTGGACCTTGTCATGTACCCTTCATTCTCCTCAATATTCCTCTGCCCCGTCCCCGCATCATTCCACCTCCTCTACCCACCAACACCTCGACCTTAGCAGAGATTCTCTGAGGCAGTGTCCCCCCCTCCCCCCCGCACCGTCCTGGGCCTCCCCAGGAACACCCTTGTCTGCATGCAGTAGAGGGGTACTCCCCACACACACCAGGCGTCCAGTGATCGGTCCCAGAAGTCCAGGCTTGAAGAATGACACTCCACAGAGGTCTTGGGCACAGCTCAACGTGTGCTATAATGAATAACTTAGGCATACCAGCAAGGCAGACACTCAAAACACACCCCCAGGTGCCCTGTGCTCCCCAAGCCCAGTTGGGCTGTGCACGTCGGGTGTGGCGAGGGAAGAGGAAACAGGAGGGGTGTGCGGAGAGCTCCGGCCTCGTAGGCCCAGCTGGGGACCAGACGGGATCGTAACCACTTCTCCGGTGGCTGAGAAGCTGAGATTCCAAAGACAGACTTCCTGCTTCCCGCCCAGCCTCCCAGCCGGTGCCTGCTCCCCCTCTTCTCCTCCGGCTCCTCTGCGAGGAAGGTCCCAAGGCCAGGCATCCCTCTTGTCTCTGTTCAATTCCCTGAGAAAGCAGCAGCGAGAGCCCCCGAAGTAGCTGGAGGGACCGCGGGCCCCACCCAGCCCCACCAGCTTCAGTGAGAATACTGAGCGGAGGGTGGAGTGTATGGTCAGAGAGACGAGGGTCCCGATTCTCAGCCTCACGGGCAGGCCCGGAAGGTGCTGAATTCAGGGGGTTCCGGTGAGGATGACGTGGAGGTGGGCCTCTTCCGGGGCCTGGAGTTTTCATAGGTTGCGGCAGACCCTGAGCAAGCATCCAGGCTGGCTGCGTCTCCTTCGGAAGTCATTTTCTTGGTCCGTGGAAGAGAAATAGGACGGGGTGATTTGGGGGTTCAGGGTTTCCCCATTCTGAGTCTGAGACTCCACACGTCCACCAGGTCTCATCTCACCCACACACACCCACATGCGCCATGGCTTCAGGGCCCCGATTCGCCTGCTGTCCTCCTGCCGTCCTTTCTGCTGGTAGGGAACCAAGCATCCTGGGGCCAGATCCCAGCTCCAGTACTTCCTAGAGGTGTGACCTCAGTGGAGGACCTAAGTCCTCTGAGCTCAGTTTCCCCTTTTGTACAACAGGAAGAGTACTAATACCCCCTCCAAGGGTTGCCATGAAGAAGCATAAAGGAATTAAAGCACCTGGCACATCACATTGTAAGTACTAAGTAGTAAGTGAACAAAGCTATTGCTATTATTCCTCTCTTTCCATTCTGGGCTTCCTCAAACGTCTACCCTCTCCTCTGCCCTGCAGGCTCCTGCTCCAAATGCCAGCCAAGGAGAGATGAACCAGCCGAAACCGGTTTGGCTCAGTGGATAGAGTGTCGGCCTGCGGACTGAAAGGTCCCGGGTTCGATTCTGGTCAAAGGTTGTGCATCCCCAGGGGGGGGGGGTGCAGGAGGCAGCTTATCAATGTTTCTCTCCCATCAATGTTTCTAACTCTCTACCCCTCTCTTCCTCTCTGTAAAAAATCAATAAAATAGCCAGGACCGGTTTGGCTCAATGGATAGAGCGTCGGCTTGGGGACTGAAAGGTCTCGGGTTCGATTCCGGTCAAGGGGATGTACCTTGGTTGCGGGCATATCCCCAGTAGGGGGTGTGCAAGAGGCAGCTGATTGATGACTCTCTCTCATCGATGTTTCTGACTCTCTATCTCTCTCCCTTCCTCTCTGTACAAAATCAATAAAATATATATATATTTTTTTTAAATCAATAAAATAGCCAAAACTGGTTTGGCTCAATGGATAGAGCGTCGGCTTGGGGATTGAAGGGTCCCAGGTTCGATTCCGGTCAAGGGCATGTACCTTAGTTGCAGGCATATCCCCAGTAGGGGGTGTGCAAGAGGCAGCTGATGGATGACTCTCTCACATCAATGTTTCTATTTTTAAAAAATATATTTTATTGATTTTCCACAGAGAGGAAGGGAGAGAGATAGAGACCCAGAAACGTCGATGAGAGAGAAACATCTACCAGCTGCCTCCTGCATACCCCCCACCGGGGATGTGCCCACAACCAAGGTACATGCCCTTGACCGGAATCGAACCTGGGACCTTTCAGTCCACAGACCGACGCTCTACCACTGAGCCAAACCGGTTTCGGCCCATCGATGTTCCTAGCCCTCTATCTCTCTCCCTTCCTCTCTGTACAAAATCAATAAAATATATATATATTTTTAAATCAATAAAATATATATTTAGAAAAAGAAGAAGAGATGAACGTGAAGCCTGGCAGAGTGAGGTCCTCCCTAGCTGGGTGACCCCAGTAAAGCACACAACCAGCTTCAGTCTCTTTGTTTGTAAAAAAAAAAAAAAAAAGAAAGAAAAAAAAAGAAAAGAAAGAAAGAAAGAAAGTAAATTGCACTTTATAGGGTGTTACAAAGTAAATATCAAGATTCTCCGTGTAGTAACACAGTACAAGCAAGCTAAGAGACCTGTCAGCTGCTTCATTTTCATTTCAGCCAACAGCACGGCTTTCTAACACGCTTCAAAAAGAATGTGGAATTGAAAGCAGGGACGCAGACACTTGCACACCCATGTGCATGTGCTCATGGTAGCATTATTCACAATAGCCAAAAGGGGGAAGCAACTCAAGTGTCTGTCAGTGGGAGACTGGGTAAACAAACTGGTACACACACACACAATGGAGGGAAATCCTGACATGCTACAACATGAGTGAGCCTTGAAAACATTATGCTAAGGGAAAGAAGCCAGACACAAAGGGGTGAACTTTGTATAGACACACTTCTACATAAAATGTCCAAAAAAAGGGCAAATCTACATGCGCTGGCCGGTGTAGCTCTGTTGCTTGAATGTTGTTCCATGCACCACAAGACTGATGGTTCAAATCCTGGTCAGGCAGGGCACATGCCAGGACAGGCTCGATGGGGGGCACGAAGGAGGCAGTGGGTTGCTGTTTCTCTCTCACATTGCCCCCCCCCCTCTCTCCCTCTCCCTTCCTCTCTGTCTAAAACAAACAAAGGCAAGTCTACAGAAACAGAAAGTAGAATGGTGTTGGCACAGGGCTGGGTGGTTGCCAATACTGAGGAGTTACTGTAGTGGGAACAGAGTTTCAGTTTTCCAGGAGAAGTCTATAAATGAAAGATGGTGATGTTTGCACAACAGTGTACATGTACTTAATGCCACAGACTGCACTGCTTAAAAATGGTTACAATGCACCCTGTCGGTTTTGCTCAGTGGATAGAGTGTCGCCCTGCGGACTGAGGGGTCCCAGGTTCGATTCCAGTCAAGGGCATGTACCTTGGTTGCAGGCACATCCCTAGTGGGGGGCATGCAGGAGGCAGCTGATCCATGTTTCTAGCTCATCGATGTTTCTAAGTCTCTGTCCCTCTCCCTTCCTCTCTGTAAAAAATCAATATATATTATATATATATAAATATATATATATTTTTTAATGGTTACAATGGGATCCCAGCTGGATAGCTCTGTTGGTTAGAGTATCAACCTGATACACCAAGGTTGTGAGTTTACCCCAGTCAGGGCACATAAAAAATTAAACAACCAATGCCATAAATAAGTGGAACAACTCAATGTTTCTCTCTCTTTAAAATCAATAAAATGGTTAAAAATGGTTAAAAGGTACATTTTATTACGTATATTTTACTACAATTTGGAAAAAAATAAACTAGGAAAGATCACTAGAATTTACTATTAAGGAAAAGAAGCACTATACATAACAATGTAGATGTCATGCTATCATTTCTGTTTAAAGGAGTGAGGATAATTCTGGCCAGTATGGATTGGTTGGGCATCATCCCAAACACCAAAAGTCTGCCTGTTCAACTCTGGTCAGAGAACATGCCTGGGTTGCAGGAGGCAGCTGGTCCATATTTTGCTCTCTCACTCTATCCCTTTCCCTTCCTCTTTCTCTAAAAAATAAAAAAATAAATAAAATAAAATAAAATAAAAATAAATCAATAAAAAATCTTTACAATAAAAGGATAAGGATATAGATTTGCTATTGTAACCTTTGCTTGCATTTTGCAAGAAGCTCCTAACAGTAGTTACTTCTATGTCTGTAGAGAGAGAGAGAGACCAGTGGGATGAGAAGGGTTAAGTGATGGAAAAAAAACACGACTATATGTATAATTTTGACATATGGGTGTGTTTTATATTCAAAACTTTTAATTAAAAATATAGCAATGAATACGTATATAGTCACCACGGCTGAGATATTGAGAAAGAAGTTGTTTCTATGTTGCCCATAGTTTCATTTTAAATGTCATTTTTGTTGTTGTTATTAATCCACACCCAAGGATTTTTTTTTCTTTGACTATTAGAGAGAGTGGAAGGGAGGGGGAAAGACACACAGAGAGAAACATCAATGGGAGACACGCTGATTGGTTGCCTTCCTCACACATCCTGACCTGGGCAGGGCTGAGGATCGAGCCTGCAACAGAGGTCTGAGGTACGTGCCCTTGACCGGAATCAAACCCAGGACCCTTCAGTCCCAGGGCTGATGCTCTGTCTGCTGAGCCAAACCAATAGGGCTGAATGTCTTTCTAAAAGGAAAATCAATGGATAGAGCATCGGCTTGGGGACTGAAGGGCATGTACCATGGTTGCGGGCCCATCCCCAGTGGGTGTGTGTGTGTGTGTGTGTGTGTGCAAGAGGCGGCTGGTGGATGTTTCTAACTCTCTATCCCTCCTCCTTCCTCTCTGTAAAAAAATCAATAAAATATGTATATTTTTTAAAAAGGTTGTGGGTTTGATTCCCAGTCAGGCAGATAGGAAGGGCAACTTTCTCATATCAATGTTTTTTTCTCTCTTCCTTCCTCTCTCTCTAAAATCCATAAACATATCCTTGGACCCCCGGATTAACAAACAAAAAACCAGGGCCATGTTTCCCATCTGCTGAATCTACCTGACCTGCATCTGTTTGCTTCTTCCACCTCTGCTGCCCACACACCAGACCAGACCACTTTGAGTGCCAGTCCGTTCACACCTCTGAGTCTATCTGTCGTCCCCACAGCCTAAGAGCACCTGAATCTGGTTACGTCCCTTCTCTGCTCTCAAACCTTCATGGCTCCCATCCCACTTGAAGTAAAAGTCAAAGTTCTCCACATGGCCCTTCAGCTCCTCACTCTCCTCTTCCCAGCTACATGTGCTGGGCCAAGAAGGCGTCCTGAGCCTGGATCAACCTCCCGCAGCTACGTCCTGCTCATCTCTGAGATGCCTTGGGTTCCCTCTGTAAGTGAGAAGGGAGTTTCCTGGTCACTCCCCCACATGGCATCGTCTGTCTGCCCCAACAGAATTAAGAAACTCTGAGGGAGCTGGCTGGTGTGGCTCAGTGGTTGAACGTTGACCTATGAACCAGGAGGTCATGCTTTGATTCGCGGTCGGGGGACATGCCTGGGTTGTGGGCTCCATCACTGGTAGGGGGTGTGCAGGAGTCAGCTTATCAACGGTTCTTTCTCATCATTAATATTTCTATCTCTCTCTCTCTCCTTCTCCCTTCCTCTCGGGAAAATACACACACACACACACACACACATACCCACATACACACACACACACCCCACACACACACACAAACCTTCCATAAAAACAAAAAACAAACACACACACACACACCCATACACACACACACACACACACACACACCACACACACAAACCTTCCATAAAAACAAACACACACACACACACAAGAAGCTCTGATGGAGAGAGGGCCAAATTCTGTCTTATCCAGATGCCCAGGAAGGGTGTGGTGACCAATCCAATACTCTCACCCCTTCCCACCCCAGTCCCCATCTGAGTGCTTCAAGCAGGGGAGTCTGCCCCAGGTGCCCTGACAGCAGTCCCACAGTGTCTACTTGTCCAAATGGGACATCGGAGGCCACCTCAAGTGGGACCACCTTCACCTCAGACCTGTATCCTCTCTGTACGAAGAGGAGCAGCTGAACATTTTCTTTATCTATGGTGTCCATGGCCCAGCCTTCTCTAACTTAAAGAAGAAAAAGGAATCCTATCTAATACAAGAGTAATATGCAAATTGACCATCACTCCAACACACAAGATAACTGCCCCATGTGGTCAAAGATCCTGCCCCCATGTGGACACATGATGGATGCCACAAGATGGCCAGCAAGGGAGGGCAGTTGGGGGTGACCAGGCCGGCAGAGGAGGGAAGTTGGGGGTGAACGGGCCTGCAGGGGAGAGCAGTAAGGGGAGACCAAGCCTGCAGGAGAGAGCAGTTAGGGGCAAACAGACTGTCAGGGGAGCAGTTAGGCATCAATCGGGCTGGCAGGGGAGTGGTTAGGGAGTGATCAAGCTGGCAGGCAGGTGAGCAGTTGGGAGCCAGCAGTCCTGGATTGTGAGAGGGATGTCCAACTGCCCGTTTAGGCCCTACCTTGGTAGGATTGTGCCTAAACGGGCAGTTGGACATCTCTCAAGAAGTCCCAGATTGGAGAGGGTGAAAGCTGGGTTGAGGGACAACCCTTCCCCCTCCCTCCCCCGCACAAATTTTGTGTACCGGGCCTCTAGTAAAGTATAAACACCAAAGCCACCCCAAGTCGGAGTTGTGCAGAGGGGTTCAAATCCCAGCTCTGACATGTATGATCTAGGGGAGCCACACCCCTTGATGAGGAGGGCTGTGTGTAGTGAGACCCTCCTTCCTAAGAGGGAACATGTACAACAGGAACATTTAAGCTGAAGTTCCAGAAACTAAGCACAAAGTAGGCTGTTCTGTATATCAGGAGGGGGCTACAGTGTGCATCAAATTGTTACAAGGCTCCATGATCCCCCAAAAGCCACCAGGTCCCCCTGAGTCCCCTCTGGCACCATTCTAAGAGGTCGACCCAACTGAATGCAAAAACCGTGCTGACCCAAGAGCAAGCAGCACCTGCAGGGGCCTGCCATTGCCACACAATGGCCTGGCTGTGGCCACCTTCCACCCCCGGGATGTCTCAGATACAGCTCTCAGCTCACGAACAAACCCCTGCTCGGTGATTCTGGGCTTTCCCCCAAGCTCCGAAACCACAGGTCAACCCAGCCTGGTGGCGGCCCCTGCCTTCCTGGCATTGGGACAGTAAGCCAGGGACCAAGACATGAGACGACTTACCGTTGAGATAGCAAACAGGGAATTATCGAAGGACATGTCTGAAAAAGAAAGCGAGAGGGAAATCAAAACTGGGGCCAGTTTCAATTCCTTATTCACCCACTTCCCCCAAGGCCACACACCCAACGTAGAGCCTGAGAAGAGAGAGGGGTGCGATCCGTCTCAGGGCATCCTCTTTGCTCCCTTCCAGCCCATCCCACGGGGTGAGCCATTCGCTGTTGCAAATTGTATCACGGCCCTCTTCTGCTCCCAGCCTCCTTCAGCAGCCTCTCACTACCCTCGGACAAATGGGTTCCTGGTCTCAACTCCGGCTTTGGGGGGGAGGGTCCTCTCAGCTCCTCCACTGCCCCAGGTCCTCCCAGAAGCACCTGCTTCAGGTCTCTGCTCAAATAGCACTTCTTTGGGGGGCAGCCCTCCTAGCCCCCACAGATCTGGGCCAACATCAGCTGTTCCCCGCTCTGGAATGTGAGCTTGTGGCAGAGACCACCTCTGTCTTGGCCATTGAGAGAGCCTCATAGACCTCAGTACACAGTAGGTACTCAACAAATGCATGAGACGTTGAAAAAAGTACAAGAATGGAGTGTCTCCCTTTGGGGGCCCCTTCCTGAGCATCACGCACACAGACTGGCTACCCCTCGCCCCCTGGTGGGAGCCGGCAGAACGACACGTCTGGACCACAGTGGGAGCTCCATTTGAGGACAGTGACAGATGCCATGAAAGCACCAGGGTGCTCCAGTGGAAAGACAGACGCAGTGCGTCCCTCGTGGAGCTGACAGTGCAGCAGTGGAGGCAGATATTACATACCCAACAGGCAAGATTACTTGAACGTGTTTCTACTAAGGGGCAAGAAGAATGACAGGGTGCCTGTTGGGATCATGCAAGTAGAAAGCACAGAACCTGACTAGAAAAATCAAGGAAGGCTTCGTGGAGGAGGTGACCTTCAGACTGAGATCAGAGTACTCTAGGCATGAAAGGCCCAAGCACAGGGCAAGGAGAGCAGGGGAGAGGTGAAACACGGGGTGGAGGGGAGCAGGAAAGGGGAGAGAGTGTATTCTTGCCCCAAGGGAAGTGGTCAGCCCCCAAAGAGGCTCCGTAGTGAGTAGTGAGGCCCATAGAGTTTTGAGGCCGTGAGCCTTGCCTGGGAGAGGGGGTCGGGACAGGATCAAGGAGGAAGCACAAACCTGTGGTGGTGAAGCTACCCTGGGCCCAGCAGGAGTCCCGCTCTCTGCAAAGGGATTGGGAAGACAGTGATGCCATCTGCGGCCGGAGGCTTATTTCCGGGCCCCAGACTTGACCTTAGTTCCCCACCCATCCTGAATCCTCGCTTTTGAAAATTCTCTTGTAGGAGCCCCACAGGCCGGATGAAGTCAGGATTCCATCCCAGGGCTTCTGCTAGCTCTCTGCCGCCCGTCGCAGAAGGGAGAAACGAAGGCCCGGACTAGATGGAACATCCTGATGCCCAGGGACGAGGGCATCGAGTTGGGCACTGCACAGCCCCAGGGGCATGCCACTCGCCTGCTCCCACTGTGGGTTTCTAGGGTGATTAGAACATTTTTGGCAGCTGGCAGGCAAAAGATGCAAGGAAGGCTCAGCCACTGGCTCCCTGTGCCTCAGTCTCCTGGTCTGTAAAATGGGGCTATTTATAGTGCCTGCTTCCACGCCCGCCCTGAGGCTGACAGGAGCTCCAGCTTCAGTCTCCTAGCTCTTAGCCCAGTGCCCTGCACACCTGTTCCGGTGAAGCAGCCCTCCCATCATTCGATGCCGTTTGCATGGAGCCCACACAGCCAGGGAGTGCCCTTCTGTTCCGAGAACCTGGTCAGTTCTTAGAGTCCCTGACACCCACCAGCAACTCATGCCCTGGGACTGAATATTTCTTTCTCCCAACTTCCCCCCCTCCCCGCAAGGGTCTCCAGGGATGGTCTCACCTTTTCTTCTGCATTTTTTTTACTTTAACTGGGGAACAAAAAATAAACAAGCATTTGTTAGATTTGGGTCCTGGGTGCATCCTGGTTGCAAGTTTCTGAAAGCTAAAAAGCCCAAAGCCCCCCTCAGACATGCGCCTTCTTCTCCCCTGGCAAATTTGCCACTCAACAGGAGAACTACTGCAAACATTCATTTTCCCCAAGTACGTGAGCAATGTGTGTTGGTAAAAACTTCAAAAGAAGTACAAGCATGTTAAATTATTTGTTTTGTTTTAGAAAGGAGAGAGAGCAAGCGAGAGGGGCTGCCTCCCGCACACACCCAACCAGGGATCAAACCCACAACCTAGGCCTGTGCCCGGACCGGAACGGAACTCCCTCTTCTGGTGCACGCGACAACGCTCCGACCAACTGACCAACCCCAAGCAGACATTCAGCTTTTGGCTAAATAACCCCTGGTGATCATGTATGGCCCACACAAAAGATGGCCCTAAAATGGGTGGCTACATCCTCAATTTCCTCATTATATAGATATTAAATGAGAAGAGGAAACAATTTCAATTGGACATCACTGTCTCAAGACATCTGAAAAACAGCAGGTATTAAAATTTTGTCTGTCTGGCCCTAGCCGGTTTGGCTCAGTGGATAGAGCATCAGCCTGTGGACTGAAGGGTCCAGAGTTTGATTCCAGTCAATGGCACGTACCTTGGTTGCTGCCTCCTCCCCTGGCCAGAGCCCTCCTCCCAAATGGTGCAAAAGGCCACCAATTGATGTGATTCTCTCACATCAATATTTTGCTATTTTTCCCTCTCTTTTCCACTCTCTCTAAAAATCAATGGGAAAATATTCTCAGGTGAGGATTAAAATAAATAAATAAATACCTTATAATTAAAAAAAAAAAAAGGTTGTCTGGCCCTGGCCTGGTGGCTCAGTTGGTTGGAATGTTGTCCCATACACCAAAAGGTTGTGGGTTCAACTCCCCATTAGGGCACATACCTAAGTTTTGGGTTTGATCCCCAGGTAAGGCACATATGGGAGGTGGCTGATTGACCTACTGATGTTTCTTCCTCTTTCTCTCGTCCTTCTCTCTCTACCTAAAGTCAATAAAAACATTTCCTTCAGCCCGGCTGGTGTAGCTCAACAGTTGAGCTTCCACTCAGGAACCAAGAAGTCATTGGTTTGATTCCTGGTCAGGGCACATGCCGCAGGCGCAATCCCCTGTTGGGGATGTGCAGGAGGAAGCCAGTCAATGATATTTCTCTCTTGTGGATGTTTCTGTCTCTATCCCTCTCCTGTCCTCTCTCTTAAAAAAAAAATCAATAACAACATACATTGAGTGGCCAGATTATGATTTCTGAATGCATAGATAATCTGGCCACTCAGTGTATATCCTATATAATAAAAGGTAATATGCAAATTGTCCCCTTGACCAGGAGTTCGACCAGCAGGCAGGCTGTCCAACCGCCAATGTCCCCTCCCCTGGCCAGGCTGGCCGGACCCCACCAGTGCACGAATTCATGCACCGAGCCTCTAAAATATATACATACACTGGGTGGCCAGATTATTATGCATTCAGAGATCATAATAATCTGGCCACTCAGTGTATTTTTAAAAAACATATCTTCGGGCAAGAATTTTTTAAAAAAAATTAATTTCAGTAGATACCAGGGGTTGGATGGAGGGGGGTGGGGAATTAATGCTTAATAGGGACCAAGTTTCAGTCTGAGAAGATGAAAGAATCCTGGAGCCCAGGCGGGCTGACTCAGTTAGAGCCTCATCCTGTGCACCAAAAGGTTGCGGGTTCAATTCCCAGTCAGGACACATACCTGGGTTGCATGCGGGATCAAATGTATGGGGGAGGCGACAGATTGACCCATCCATGTTTCTCTTTTTTTCTCTCTCTCCCTTTCTCTCTCTAAATCAATGAACATATCCTCTGGTGAGCTTTCTCTGACTGCTGTTACCTTTCCTGATCACCACAGCAGCCGTCACCAGCCCAGCGAGGAGGAGGGCTCCAGCCAGGCTCAGGGAGAGTGCCAGGATCCAAGTGGGTACTAGAGGGAAATGGGAAAAGAGAGAGTGGGCAGGTCATGGAGTTGGGGAGGCACAGGGAGGAAAGAGGACAGCTGTCATCTCGGGAGAGCTAGCGTTTCCCTCTGACCCTCCAACTATGTGGCTTGAGTGTAACTGGACACTAGGGACCCAGCAAACCTTACACCTAGCCAATGAGAATGGATTCTGAGACTGGATAGGCCTCTGCTGGGAAGAGAAGTTTACTCCTCTACCCACTATGACAGAACTGGGAGGCTATGCATCTGGAGCTGCTGGGTAGAATTTTGCTGCCTGAGAATAAGACACAGAAGAAAGCTGAACTGAGAGGTGGCAGATGATTCCTGATACCTTTGGGCACCTGGATTCAGCCACCCCTGAAGTCAGCCCTGTGATCTGGCTTCAGTTCAGCGAATCAATACATCCCTCTTTGTTGTCGAAGCCAGTGTGAGACAAGTTTTCAGTTACTTGCAGCCTGAAGATTCAGTTACTTGCAGCCTGATTTCAGCATGGGGGCCAGGGGATCAAGGGACAAATCCTCGCCCCGGCCATGTGTGCACCACGAGGCCTACGCAGAGGTCAGCCACAGGAGCTGAAACCCCCGCTCCAGGGTTTTGTCCGCAAAGGATTTGGCTGCCCCTCCCTGGAGACAGAGGGGGTCTGTCAGGGGAACCTGGAGCGGATGCCCTGACCCCAGGGGAGGGGAGGAGCTAAGCCAGGAGGGTGAAGGAGAAATGCGCACTTGGCGTTCTCACAGTGTTAGCCTGTTCATTCATTCCCCCAGGGGTTTGCGGGGCGGGGGGCGGTGAGGTTTGTCACCCCCCCACTCTGAGACCACAGGACCAAGGTAGGAGAAGGGGCCCTCTGATAGTAGAGCTTGTGACCGGGAAGGACATAGAGGCTGTTCTGTCATCACCGTGTGTGAGCCTCTGCTAGCAACCACGTTCTATTTGCAGCTGGAAAGTTCTGATGGATGCTGACACAGAGGCTCCGCCTGAGGCTCCTCCCTTCCCTCCTCCCTCCTACCCTCCTTGATCCAGAGTCCACACCCACACCCTTGAAAGGATCAGCAGCCCTCCCAAACTTCTGTCCCACTCACCCAGAAAGCCAGTCCTTCCTGCAGCCACAAGGCCCTACAAGATCCTTTCTGCTACCTTCCTGCCCTCGCTCGCCTCTCCCACTTTCCTCCTTGCTCATGAGGCGTCAGTCAAGGGTGCCTCCATGTTGCTCAAACACACCAGGTACACTCCGGCCTCAGGACCTTTGCACATCCTGCTCCTTCTACCTGGAACCTTCTTGCCCGAGACATTCCTGTGGCTGGCTCCCTATCATTCAGGTCTGTCCTCAAACATCCCTCCTCAGAGAAGTGTTCCCTGACCACTGTCCTCTGTATTTAAAATGGCATCCTTTAGCTCTAGCTGGTTTGGCTCAGAGGGCAGAGTGTCGGCCTGAGGACTGAGGGTCCTCGGTTTGAGTCCAGTTAAAGGACATGCCCGGGGCTGCGGGCTCAGTCTCCAGTAGGGGGCGTGCAGGAGGCAGCCGATTCTCTCTCATCATGGATGTTTCTATCGCTCCCTCTCCCTTCCTCTCTGAAATCAAGACAAATGTATTTAGAAAAATAAAATGACGCCCTTTACCAGGCTGTATTTCATTCTTGCATTTTACTTGCCCCCACTGGCAGATGGAATACTTCTTAGACTGCACGTTCAGGGTCTAAGATGTTCCTGGGCCAGCAGGGGCGGGCACAGCAGAGCATGCACATGTAATGCCTGGGCTTCGGAGACCAGGGGTGTCCCAGCTCTGCTGCCTGCTCGCTATGTGACTTGGGCAAGTCCCTGCATCTCTTGTGCCTTGGTTTCCTTATCTGCAAAATGGGGAGAATCGCTATACCCACGGCACGGGCTGACGGTGAGGCTTAAGCAAGGAAAAGGGAGTAAATCCTGGCAAGTTGGAAGCCTGGCTCGTCCTCGGTGGTGGGAAAGTGGAGCCCGGCAGTGAGGGCTGGCGGAAGGGCCGTACCTGGGAAGGACACGTGCACAGGTTCGCTGAGGTCGGACAGCTGCGGCTGCCGGTGCTCGCCCACCACGCCGTACTGGCATTGGAACATGCCCCCTGCAGCCTCCCAGCCGCCGCTCAGGTTGAAGGTGACCCTGAGCTGGTCCGCAGGGGCCTGCAGGAGCTGGACCACCTTCTCCCCTTGATACAGCGTGAAGTTGGCCCCTGCGAAGCCCCAGGGGGCCGCGCATTCGATGTAGAGGGGGTCCTCTTGACTGCTGGGGTGTGGGGGCACCAGCAGGATGGAGGGCGCTGGTATCGCCATGGAGCCTACAGTGCAGAAAAGGGAGGTTGGGGAACCGGTGATCAGAGCAGGGGCCAGCCTGGCTGTGTGGCTCAGGGCGAGTGGCTCTGGCTCTCTGGACCTTGTTCCTCCCTCCCCCACCTGATCACAGTTCTATTGTTCACTTGTCAAACACTAGTACACAGCTGGTAATTTGAAAGGGGAAATACAATTAACAGAAGTTCTTATTATACACGTAGCATGGAAGACACATCTTTACTTTTACACATTCTAGAAGACATTCAAATCAAGATAGATTCAAACAGGTTGATAAATGTCTGTGGGCCTTGCCCGAGCCGGCTTGGCTCAGTGGATAGAGCATTGGCCTGTGGACTGAAGGGTCCCAGGTTCAATTCCGGCCACGGGCACATGCCCAGGTTGTGAGCTTGATCCCCAGTAAGGGGGTGTACAGGAGGCAGCCAATGAATGATTCTCTCTCATCATTGATGTTTCTTTTTTTAAAAATATATCTTATTGATTTTTTAGAGAGGAAGAGAGAGGGATAGAGTTAGAAACATCGATAAGACAGAATCATCTATCAGCTGCCTCTTGCACACACCCTACTGGGGGATGTGCCCGCAACCAAGGTACATGCCCTTGACCGGAATCGAACCAGGGATCTTTCAGTCCGCAGGCTGACGCTCTATCCACTGAACCAAACTGGTTTTGGCATTGTTGATGTTTCTATCTCTCTGTCTCCCTCTCTCTTCCTCTCTGATATCAATAAAAAAATAAATAAAATGTCTGTGGGCCTTGATTTTTATGTACAACTGGAGGCTGGTCATCCCCAATCTACTTGGGGAATCAAGTGCCTTGTACATGGTCAGGGGTCACTGCGTTTGAGTCGTTTTTTAAATGATAGCAGTAGTTATTACACAGCAATGCAATTTACATTCTCATTACTTCAATCAACAATACTGACTATGCACCAGGACCTGCTTTAGGTACTGAGGACAGAGCAGTGAATGAGACAGACAGACAGACATGCCTGCCTCAGGGAGCTGAGGTTCTCAAGGGGATGAGAAATGCTGCGCAGCACACGAGAGTGACGAGAAGGCTGCAGCCGCTGGGGTGGCCACGGAGGGCTTCCCTGAAGAAGCGGCACAGGAAGAGCCGAGGCCGTGGTTGGCAAACCACGGCTCTAGAGCCACATGCGGCTCTTTGGCCCCTTGAGTGTGGCCCTTCCACAAAATACCAGTCTATTTTTAAGAAGTGGCATTAGAAGAAGTTTGAGTTTAAAAAATTTGGCTCTCCAAAGAAACTTCAGTCGTTGTACTGCTGATATTTGGCTCTGTGGACTAATGAGTTTGCCGACCTCTGAGCTGAGAGAAAGCATTCAGGCAGAGGAACAGCATGGGCAGAGCCTGGGAGGCTGGGAGCGGGGTGGGCTGGCTAGAGGGCACGGGGGACAGGGAGAGCAGGAGGAGGGAGGACTGAGAGGTCCTAGCTTGCTTCCCAGGCTGTGGGGAGGAAGAAAGATTTCGGGGTTCAGTTTCCTACAGGAGGGACCAGTGTCTCCCCACCTGCCCCCAGGCTCCTGCGCACACTGTGGCTCTGGCTTAGGTGAGGGCTGCACAAGCCTTCCTTCCGTGGTCCCCCCGCAGACCTGCTGCTGGGGCCCAGGCGGTGGGAGCCTCAGAGGCCAACGGGGCTGAGTCATGGGGCGTGGGCATCGCTCTGCTCTCCTCAGCGGGGTGGCATTTCTGATAACCGCTTTGTGGGGATCACGAGGAGCCCAGAGAAAGAAAGCCAGGCTCCTGGGCCATGTCCCAGGCTCTGGGGCAAATCTGTCAGGAGGCCTCAGCCTCCTCCTGCACCTGGGGAGGGCAGCCCCAGGTACAGGTTCCTGCCCCGGAGCAGAGGTCAGGGGGGCAGGCATGGGGAGTGCCTCGGGGGCGGGGGGAGTGCAGGGGTGTCAGGCTCACCAGCTGCCAAGAGCAGGACAATCCAGGGCATTGCTCCTCCAGTGACCGGCCAGGCACTCTGGCTGAGGCCAGGGTGACCCACGGCTCACCACAGCTTCTTCAGCGCGGCCGGAGCCGGGAAAGAAGAAGCGGGGCTGCTTCTAGCCGAGTTATTTCCTCACTGGCAGGAAGTTGCATATATACTTGAGTTACTCAAAGAGGCTTTCTCCTCTCCCTCCCCCCCCCCCCCCTTCCATGGATGCACATCAGACCTGGCACCTCTCGGAGCCTCGGTGGCCATCGTTCTGCAGATGGGAGGGACGGACACCTGAGATGGTCAGGATGCATTTCTTTTTTCTGCCCCCGAGAGGACTCCTGGGCATGAGGAAGGGTAAGGACTGTGGGCTGTTAGGGAAATCCATGCCCAAGACATACACCACAGCCCGGCCAGCGCCAGAGGTGATGTACGTGTGAGATGGAGGGAGGGGAGGGCTTGGCCTCTGTGACTTCAGACAAGGCATAGTTCTCCTTTGAAGCCTTATCTTTTCTTTTTTTAAATAATATATTTTATTGATTTTTTACAGAGAGGAAGGGAGAGAGATAGAGAGCTAGAAACATCGATGAGAGAGAAACATTGACCAGCTGCCTCTTGCACACCCGCTACCGAGGATGTGCCCGCAACCAAGGTACATGCCCTTGACCGGAATTGAACCTGGGACCTTTCAGTCCACAGGCCAAGGCTCTATCCATTGAGCCAAACCGGTTTCGGCATGAAGCCTTATCTTGTTGCTCTGTAGAATTCGGCTCCGAAGAGCAGACAGAAATCCAAAGAACTCATGATACGAAGCAAAGGGAAGCCACAGACAAGAAAAGCTTTAGGAGCTTCCCAAGCCCGGTGAAACACGCGCTCCAGAATTGAGGCAATGGTATGCTTTGCAGAAGAAATTGCCTTCCAGCTCCAGCTCAGAAACTTGCAAAGATTTGTTTGACAAGTAGGCTTGCTTTGCTCTCTAAACATTTCTGTTCACATTAAGTGGGTCCACCTGGAGGTTTACACTCAGGAAGGACATAAACATGTGTACACCAAACACCAAAAAGGACCACTAGACTTTTCTTTGGACACACAACCCTCATTCCAACATCAGGACCTTTGTGCATAATTCTATCACTCTGGTCAAATCCCACTTCTTCGGGTCTCAGCTTAAAGATCACTTCTGTGAAACCCATCCAGAGCCCTCTGGACTTAGAAAAACCCCTTTGCTGAATTCTCCCAGAGTGCCTTGTAATTTCATTTTATTGCAATTAGTATGTTGCTAGCTGCTTCCAAGGAATCTATCCATTTCATCTGAATTGTAGAACTTAGTAGTATAAACTGTTAATGTTTTCTCGTTATCCTTTTTAAAAATATATTTATTTTATTGATTTTTTACAGAGAGGAAGGGAGAGGGACAGAGAGTTAGAAACATCGATGAGAGAGAATCATCAATCAGCTGCCTCTTGAACACCCCCCACTAGGAATGTGCCCGCAACCAGTGTACATGCCCTTGACCGAAATCGAACCTGGGACCTTTCAGTCTGTAGGCCGATGCTCTATCCACTGAGCCAAACCGGTTTCGGCTCTCATTATCCTTTTAATGTCTCTAGGGTCTGTGGTGATGTCCCATTGGCAACATAATTTGTGTGGGGTTTTTCCCTTGATTAGTCTTGCTAGAAATTAACGTTTTATTAATCTTTTCAAAGTACTTTTTACATTGTTACTTTTCTCTAATTTCTGTTTTCTATTTCTTTGATTTTTGGTCTTATCTTTACCTTTTCTTTCTTCTATTTACCTTGTGTCTAATCATCTCTGCTTTTATTAGCTTCTTAAGATGGAAACTTAGATCATTTATTTTTTCAGCATTTATATTAACCTTCACCCAAGGATATGTTTTTATCGATTTGAAAGAGACAAACATTGATGAGTTGCCTCCCATATACGCCCAGACCGGGGACTGAACCGAAAACCTAGGTTTGTGTCCTGACCAGGAATCTAACCCCCAACCTTTTGGTGTACAGAATGACATTCCAATCAACTGAGCAGCCTGACCAGGGCAGATCATTGATTTAAAACCTTTATCTTCTAATATAAGCATTTAAAGCTATACATTTCTCTCTATGCACTGCTTTGCTACATCTCACACATTTTAATATATTGTGATTTATTATCATTGTTAGAAATAATATATTTTTTCCCTGTGAAGTTTTTCTATGAACCATAGTTTATTTAGGTATTCCTTAATTTATAAGTATTTGGGCTTTTAAAATAACTTACTATTGCTGAAACTGGTTTGGCTCAGCGGATATAGCATCAGCCAGTGGACTGAAAGGTCCCAGGTTCGATTCTGGTTGCAGGCACATCCCCAATAGGGGGTGTGCAAGAGGCAGCTGATCGATGTTTCTCTCTCATTGATGTTTCTAACTCTCTATCCCTCTCTCTTTTTCTCTGTAAAAAAATCAATAAAATATATTTTTAAAAATGTTTAAAAAATAACTTACTATTGTGATCTTTAATTTAATTCCTTTTTGGCCAGATAATATACTCCATATAATTTCAATCCTCTGAAATTTATTAATTTTTTAGAATAAATTTTAATGATTTCAGAGAAGAAGAGAGAGGGAGAGAGAGATAGAAACACCAATGATGAGAGAGAATCATTGATCGGCTGCCTCCTGCAAACCCTCGACTGGCGATCAAGCCCGCAATCCAGGCATGTGCCCTTGGCTGGAATCTACCGTGGGACCCTTTGGTCCCCAGGCTGACACTTAATAGCCGAGTCAAACCAGCTAGGGCGAAATTTATTAATTTTTAATGGTCCAGCATATCTTGCTCCACATTCTATTGGCCCTTAAAATATATAAACAATACTCTGCAGTTGATATATCCTGTAAATGTCAATTAGATTAGGTCAAGATGGTTCACAGAACATGCTTGAATTTACTGAATTCATCCAGTTCTCTTCCTCCAGAGGTGCAGGGAGAGAGTCCTTGTTGTCTGCTAAGCCTACCACAGTGCTTAGCATACAGTGACCCATAAATATTTGACTGTCTGGCCTGAAAGCCAAAACATATTCATTCGGTCTATTTTTGTGGCTCTATCCTGTGTGTACAGAAGAGTTAGGAGATTCTTGGCTTGGACGTATAAGAGACAGAATTGAGATTTCTCCCAGATACCTGACTCCAAAGGTCTTGAGAAGGGGGGGAGGGCATGCTAGGTGGAGGGAACAACATGTGGGAAGGAACTTGAATATAAGGACTTCATCCTGGGAGCATTTAACATGGTGCAGAAATCTACAACCTGGGATTGAGTTCAGAAAAAGAGCAACACATGCCGGTACTGGTCACCTGTCACACAGCTGTTGTACTTAAGAGGCACCACTGGGGAGTCACAGACAGGATGAAGAGAAATCAACAAAGAATGGCGACTCCTGAGGTCAGGAGCTGTTACCAGCTCAGATCTGAAATTGCTGGGAGGAAGTGAGCCTGAAATTTGAAGAGAGCTGGACTTGCAGGCTTTGGTAGAGAGATACAGACCAACAAGGTGGGAGCCAGGAGATATATATGAAGGCTTTCCTCCGCCCCAGGCTTCAGATCTCCTGCCAGGGCCAAACTCAAGAAGCCAGGTTGATCCAGTGGATAGAGATCAGCCTTCCAGGGTACAGAGCGGTGTAGGGAAAGGCGAAGAACAGCTCTGGTGGGGCGGGGCACAAAGACTGCCCAGCACATTCTTAGAATCTCTTGGTTATAATTTCAGGGGATCCTTGGTCTCCAGAAACCAGTCTGCCAACTCCCCATGGTTGTAAGGACCTCAGGCTAAGATTCTAGGCCAGCACTACAAAGGGAAGAGGGCCCCTACATGATGTGGCTTGCTCTGACTGCTTCCATCTCTTCTCTGGTTACTCCTCTCATCCCATCACCTCCTTTCTGCCTCTTGAACCCCGAGTGCTTTCCCCCTGACGTGGGGCATTGTTCTGTTTGTCTCCTCCTGTCCCTTCTACTTCCCGTCTGGGGTTCAATGCTACCTCCTCAGGGAAGCCCTCCCTGACTCCACCCAGGCTAAATGGGCCATACCACCGACAACCTAGCATTTACTTCTTAGCACCTATGACTACCTAAAATCATCTTAGTGGAGCGACAGTAGGATGACAACTCCACAAGGATATGGACAATTTGCTTTTGTTGTTTATTTTTGCCGTTATCTCTGATAAGGGCTTTTTAAAAATTTATTGTCTAAAGTTTTAGGTATGTCTCCTTTTTCTCCGCTTGATCCCCTCCCCCAGCCACTCCCACCCAATCAATCCCCACCACCCCAGTGTCTGTGTCCATTGGTTATGCTAATATGCATGCATACAAGTCCTTTGGTTGCTCTCTAACCCACTCCCTCCCCTGCCATTTGTCTCTGGATCTAGTCTTGTTCATCAAATTATGTTGATCATATTCCACATAAGAGTGAGATCATGTGGTATTTATCTTTCTCCATCTGGCTTATTTCGATTAGCATATTGCTCTCCAGTTCCATCCATGCTGTTGCAAATGGTAAAAGTTCCTTCTTTTTTATAGCGGCATAGTATTCCACTGTATAGATGTACCACAGTTTTCCACTCATCTGTTGATGGGTACTTAGGTTGCTTCCAAATCTTAGCTATTGTAAATTGTGCTGCTATAAACATAGGGGTGTATATATATCCTTTCTGATTAGTGTTTCTGGTTTCTTGGGATATAGTCCTAGAAGTGGGATTACTGGGTCAAATGGGAGTTGTATTTTTAACTTTTTGAGGAAAATCCATACTGTTCTCCACTGTGGCTGCACCAGTCTGCATTCCCACCAGCAGTGCACGAGGGTTCCTTTTTCTCCACATTCTTGCCAGCACTTAATTTGTTGATGCTAGCCATTTTGACAGGTGTGAGATGGTATCTTATTGTTGTTTTGATTTGCATCCCTCGGATGATTAGTGACTTTGAGCATGTTTTCATATGTCTCTCGGCCTTTTGTATGTCCTCTTTTTAAAAAAATATATATTCTATTGACTTTTAAAAATATATATATTTTGATTTTTTATAGAGAAGAAGGGAGAGGGAGAGTTAGAAACATCGATGAGAGAGAAACATCGACCAGCTGCCTCTTGCACACCCCCTATTAGGGATGTGCCTGCAACCAAGGTACATCCCCTTGACCAGAATCGAATCTGGGACCTTTCAGTCCGCAGATCGATGGCCTACCACTGAGCCAAACTGGTTT